GTTTATACGGTAATGAAATGCATAAACCATGGCGGTTGGTGGACAAATGAAGTCTAGACATTGACATTCTGACCTCAACTTCCCTAATTCCTCCCCACCCCATCTCCTGCCCCCCTCCCCATTGACCATGACAACAATAACGCTTCATCTGTCCACCAACCACCATAGTTTATTCATTTCATTACCATATAAATGTTAAAGTCTGACGAGCATTTATCGAAAGCAAACGTATGTTCGCCAATTTATCTTCTAATATTATTTTGGCCTAATTTTTGAGTTTTAAGGCTTGCTAGGTGAGGTCATATTTGAAGCTTCACATAGGCATGTGACTCCACCATCAGAAAAAAAAGAAGGCAAGAAGCAAACGTCTGATAATGAATTCTAAGTCGTTAACCACAGGAAGAATAAGCATACATTTAACCTACTTCGCATTAATCAGTGCACAAATATGGTGCGTGAAAAGTTTTGCCAAGTCTGGGAAAGATGCTTCTACATGCTAATTTGTATCCTCGTTGAGTCAGCCACATAATTAAGACGTTCTTGACGTGGTGCAGCGTGGCTGTCGGTTGCCTTATTTTCGTTAGCATTATGGAGTTGTTGGCCGTATCGCCTACCGGTGGACATTTAAATTATGCTTGTTTAACATACATCCTAAAAAATTTGACGGATTTAGCAAAGCTTCCGGAAATCGCTTTCGTAAGCAGACTGCTCCAACATGAAATCGGCTAACGATGCTATTTGTTATGTTTTCATTTCTATTTTTTTCTGGTTTATCAACGTTTTTGGATAGTTTTTGGCTGTAAAAAGTCTGCAAAGGTCTTTGTTCTTATTATGCTTGGCGGCTAGCCTGCTGCAGTGAGTTTTTTACTGCCGAATTATAAATGTTGATGTCCATATGGCGGCAGTATGCCGTGTTCTTCTTGTTCCATGGTGAACCGTATATCCTGCAAATGCAAGTTATATCGAAGTATAGCAAGTTATTATATGAATGCGGAAGACCGGTTGTTGAGAACCGAATACATTCGTGTATTATCCTGAACTTACGGGCTCCTGCGGGAGTCCATCCTCAGAGATAAAAACATCCACGAAAAACAAGCAACATGTATAGGGGGCAGAAGCAAATCAACCATTATACGGGATTGGGATGGAAGGGGAGGAAACTCATTAATCATAAGTGTCGGTCTTACGGATATGCTTGCGAAGGGCGATGTATGCCGGCGCCAGATCAATAAATCGATTGACTGAATTCTCATCCGAGGCCTAGGCTTCACGTGTTCTATAACTTTCCTAAAGAATTAACCTGAACTCTTGGACGTATGCAGATGCGGCAGCCAGGATAGTCAAGCATATGCTTAGAATGATTCTATTAAAATATAAGTTGCAGCTCTTCTATGTAATCTGCGTCTGGGAGA